GCACAAAGCATTAATTTGAGCTGGAGTAAACTCTAATCTCCTCTCCCCAACAAGTACAGAATCATCTGAAGCATCTGGGAGATTTGCATAAAATTCTCAAACCACAGAAATAAATGCTACGATAGTTAAGTAGCAAAAATTCTCTGAGTGTCTTGTACCAATCAGATTTTTCACAGCTCTACCAGGACTGATAAACATTTATGCTTGAATTAAATTCTTCGATATGAGAAACTCATTGTAATGCTCTCGAGCTTTTTGACTTGTAAATTTTGTTTGATCAAACTCCTCTTTTCCCTTTCCCCTCTTGGTTTTAGGAGCCATAATATCCTCTCAAATACTCTTAGGTTCTTAGTTAATTTAGTTAATTTTAATTTTATAGTAAATTAGTAAATTTAGGAAACCCCAAACTAAGATCTGATAATAGTATACTAGAATTAGCCTAAGGTAATTCTTACATTACTTCTCTGTGGGATCGATATTGGGGTCTTAAAAAAATCCCGATATTACTTGAAACGATATGTATACTTGCGTAGTACCCCTAGTGTGTAAATTATTTTCTAAATTTCATAACATTTTAATTTTTCACACTAGCCGCTAAATATAAATTGGGCCAAGTTTTTTTTGTCATTTTTTAAAGCTAAATTAATGTGTAATTACAGGTAGGGACAATAACCTCTAAGATTGAGCTCTTCATCGATTGCATCAAGTAGAAAACAAAAACCTGTCATTTCAGTTTCTTGACGGGCGGGTTTAATGTTATTTTAAATATTAATGATGGCTCTTAGTTTACTTGAAATGACAATCGCCCAATCAACAGGATTGAACTAAGTGTAGTTGAAAAGAAATACACTTCCTTTAGGGATAAGATAGTTCAAAAACTTCTTTCAGAGTCCCCTAATAGTATTTCTTGTCGTCCAACTTATCGTTTGCTTTAACATAAAAGCTGGAATTGAAAGAAAAGACTTTTTTCCCTTAGAACAAAATCTTTTATGAAACCTGCACCTATTTACTAAGATGTTAAACGATCCAACTTCGAGCCAAAAAGATGTGGTTTCCAACCAAACAACTTGAAATCTACTAGAAAGACTTTTTCCCTTAGACCAAAATCTCTTATGAAACCTGTACCTATTTACTAAGATGTTAAACGATCCAAATTCGAGCCAAGATGATGTGGTTTCCAACCAAACAACTTGAAATCTACTAATTAATCATATCCACATCTATATCACCATCACTTTGAATAAGAGACCCAAGATATCTGGAATGTTCACACCTTTTAAATGGTTTTATAACTTGTAGTTACAACTACCACTAGAGTTACTACTACTAAAATTAAATTTCAAGTATTCAGTCCTAAATCTACTTAAATGAAAGACTTTAGACTTTAATATCGACCTCCGTAATTTAAGTTTTTTTCTAAACTTTTTCTCTAGTTTTATCAACTAGAAGGATATCATCGGCAAAAAGCATAGACCAAAGCGCATCCTCCTATAAATGTCTTGTAAGAACATCCATAAAAAAAACAAAAACTTATGTGTTTAAAACTAAACCCTGATGTAACTAGGGTTGTTAATGATCCTATTTCGAGCTAAGCTGAGGTCACTCAAAATCAACTCAAAAAAATTCGATTCAAAATTTTGGCTCATAGTTCGGCGCATTATTTCGATTTGATATGAATCCAATCCAAATTTTGAATCAATTTTGAGTGATTGATGATCTTCGAGCTAGATTCTCTAAATTCAAAATCATATGTTGTTAACGACCTGATTTCGAGCTAAGCTGGGGTCGGCTCAAAATCAGCTAAAAAAAAATCGATCCAAAATTTTGGCTTGCAGCTCGGCTTATTTATTTTGATATGATATTGATCTGAGCCAAAATTTGAAATCAATCTTTAAGAAATTAATGATGTTCGAGATAACCTCACAACCCTACAAGTAATCCAATCCAAATAGGAAAATATTTGACAACCTCCTAGTTGTTAAACCCTAAACCCTCAACGTATTCTTTAAAACAAATGAAATCAAAAATGAAAATGAAGATAAAAAGTTACATTCTTCAGTCGTTTCGGGAGTAGAGGAGTGGAAGGAGGAGAAGAAAGGGAGTTTCCGGTCAGTGTAAGCTGTGATCTCGCCGTTGCGTTTTCAATTAGCTCGTATTTCTCACAAGGGATTCGGGAAAAAGGGATGAAGGCGATGGTTTTCAGGAGAACACAAGGGCTTCGGGTAGAGGCTTTCAGAGAGAGGCGACGGTTTCGGGTGGAGAAGACCAATGAGAGAAATTAGGGCAAGACCAGGAGGGAGGTGAAATCGGGCAGGATATAGGATTTGTGTTAACAGTCTGTCAACGGCTTTAATTGAGTCAGTTATTAAAATTATTACCGACGGCCTTTTCCATCTCTTAAAAAAAATTGTGAGTTAAAATCCCGCCAGATTGTGAGCTCAAAGACAACTTATGCACTATAGCCCTCAATTAATATTTGTTTATAACCAACGACGTCGATTATAATTAAAAATGATCGAGAAACAAAATATTGTTGATAAACAATAGTTTATGTTATATTTATGTTGTCGCAAATAACCAAGATAAAAAATCATCGTCAAACCTGCGAAAATTAGATTATTCTTTCTGACGTGTAAAATTCGTCGGTTTGTCCGTTTTTTTTTAGTGTTTTTTCCTGTTGTGTTTGGAAATTTTTCAACTCTATCCCTTTTTTAACAAATTAGAGTATGGATAACTGTGTTATCATTTGGATCCATATTATATCTAAAGTCTCTTCTTTTGGGAAAGACTTTAACAAATTTGCTTTTTAAATTAAAATTTGTTTTATTTTTCATCTTAATACTTAGAGAAATCTTCTTCTTCTCTGGTTCTTAGCTTAAAAAATCCTCTTTATTTGAGGTATATGGTAATATAATTTTTGAATGATTTCTTCTACCAATATTTATCGAAATTAAAGATGTCCTTATTAATGGTTGTTGGTCATTTCCTCAACATTGGAATATTCCAACTTGTTCTCTACTTCTAATTCATTGCATACCTATTATTAATGATTGCGTTAGCTGTCTTTGGAAAGGAAATAATTATTATAACAAAAAAAAATGTATTACATTTTACTTATGATATTTTACTCTTTAGAGATTGAAACAGATTAGTTTGGTATAAAGACTATTCTATTAACTTGGCTTTGCTTTCTTAAAGAATTTTTCAAAATAGTATTAAAACTAATGATATTCTTAACTCCATGGATATTAATGTTATTCCTAATTATTTTTTATTTCTCAATATTTTATAAACTCATAATCATTTATTCTTTGAATGTTTATTTTCT